ATAAGTTTTTTTGAAACTTTATATTTAAGGAAAAGTGCAATAACTCAACAACGCCGTAACCGAATTTCAAAAACCAAACATGAAATGATATCAGAATTTAACGTAGCATCTGAATATGTAATGATATACAGGGCGTTCTATTTTAAAAAATGGAATTTTGGTCTGTAGCACCTACACCAAACACCCTGTATATTTAAAAATTATATCAAAATATAGTTCTCATGAACTCCTAAAACTTTTGTATGAAACATTTTTGTGTATCTCCTTCAACAAACCAGATATTGCCTGTCACATAAAATGTGAGACATCCGGTATATAGAGAGGAAATAGAAATTTAAAAACACAGGACTAATTTCAATAGAAAAGAAGAGGCAATGAACATTTAAAAAATCTGGCTACCTGTCCTTAAAGGTATACAAACAAGGTCAGGCAATTCGATTGATTTCATCCAATTTCGTTTCGTTTCATCCTAAGAAATAAAGTTTTTTTCAAGGACAAAACAAAAGCACTTGAGGAAAATCCTCAATACGCTCTTAGAGCGGTGCCTGTGCGAAGGTAGGGATTCACATTGAATTTGAATCGCTGGAAATCAAATCCATTTGGAAAAACGTTTTTAGGTAGTGTATTCCACGTAAACGCAATTCCTCAGATGAAAGAGTTCTTGAACAGTGAAGTTCGAGGTGTACTGAGTTGAACCTCAAAGCGATGAACAGCCACAGCCCGTCGCGTATTTCTGATCTGCACCGCTCTTGGTGGAATCAAATATGCCAAGTCACTTAAACTTAAGAATAAACGAAATCTCGACTTTTAGAAACGATGAAAATCAAGACAAATTTATCTCAGTTCTATAGGTACCACCAGTATACGAAGAACTGGAAAGATTTTCAAGAAACTAGGTATGAAGATGGTATTTAAAGCAAGTAGTACACTACAGAGCCTTTAGGAAATCCAATGGACAAAGTCGAGAATTCAGAAATTGAATGTAAGGACTGCGATGCAAAATATTATAGACAGACTGAAAGACATATTAAAATAAGATATAGGGAACACTTAGCACATCTAAAATATGAAAGATCAGAAAAATCAGCAGTCGCCCATCATATTTTACAACAAAACCATTTCATAGACTTTAGTTAATTGAGATTAGTTAAGACAAGTTAACAACAACAAACATCTAGATGTCTACGATAGTGTAGATATAAGTAAACATAATATTTTGAATAACGATGGTGGACCAATACCTAATAGTATACTATATAGCATGTTGAAATAATATGTTAATCAACAAATTTGCCTTACTATAAGCTAAGGCCATATTATAAAATTAATTTAATATTAGTAGATAAGGCAACATTGTAAAATTAATTTGAGACGATTAAGTCGAATTTACCTAACAGAGGTATCTATGGTATAAATAAAGGCAACATTATAAAGCGTGTTTTTTATAGAGGTATAGAACTTTAAGTTGCAATAAAACAACGATGGATTATTCGATTGACATGAATTTTATTTATCCGAAAGATAATCTTGTGGCATTACATTTTAAATATGATTTCTGGCATATGACCGCCACGGCTGGCGCGGATGTAGTCCAATCTGGACGTCCAATTTTCGATGACTTTTTCCAACATTTGTGGCCGTATATCGGCAATAACACGGCGAATGTTGTCTTCCAAATGGTCAAGCGTTTGTGGCTTATCCGCATAGACCAATGACTTTACATAGCCCCACAGAAAGTAGTCTAGCGGTGTTAAATCACAAGATCTTGGAGGCCAATTCACAGGTCCAAAACGTGAAATTAGGCGGTCACCAAACGTGTCTTTCAATAAATCTATTGTGGCACGAGCTGTGTGGCATGTTGCACCGTCTTGTTGAAACCACATCTCCTGGACATCATGGTTATTCAATTCAGGAATGAAAAAGTTAGTAATCATGGCTCTATACCGATCACCATTGACTGTAACGTTCTGGCCACCATCGTTTTTGAAAAAGTACGGACCAATGATTCCACCAGCCCATAAAGCGCACCAAACAGTCAGTTTTTGTGGATGTAACGGTGTTTTGACATACACTTGAGGATTACCTTTACTCCAAATGCGACAGTTTTGTTTGTTGACGTAGCCATTCAACCAGAAGTGCGCTTCATCGCTAAACAAAATTTGCTTATGAAAATTGGGAACAACGGTAATCTCGTTTTGGGCCCATTCGACGAATCTACGCCTTACTTGATGATCGTTTGGCTTCAATTCTTGCACGAGTTGGATTTTGTAAGCACGCAAACCAAGATCCTTCCGCAAAATCTTCCATAAAGTGGATGGACACAGATCCAATTCCTGTGCTCGATGGCGGATGGACTCCTCCGGGTCTTCCTCAATGCTACGCTGTACAGCAGCAAGAGCTTCTTCTGTACGCACCGTACGGCGTCTCTGGGGATGCGAGTTATCAATAAGAGTAATCGTGGTGCGAAAACGTTCCATGGTTAATCTAATTAACTGCTCTGATGGACGATTTTGTCGACGATAAAATGGACGTAGTGTGCGATACGTTTTCCGCACAGAACCATTATTTTCGAAATAAAATTGCACTATTTGCAAGCGTTGTTCAAGCGTGAGTCTATTCATGATGAATTGCCAAATAAAAACTAAGAATAAATCACTTGACAGCTGTTAAATCGGTCGCCATCTTGAAAAGTAATGCCAACTTAAAGTTCTATATCTCTATAAAAAACACCCATTATGTGTATTTAGTTTAATTTTCTTTTTGAAGATGATCACTTGGTGATCGAAACACGTGTTAAAGTAAGGATTTGGTTTTGGAATAAAAATTCAGTAACAAATTGATGTATGTAGCCGTTGTTACTACGTGGTATGAAATCATAATGAAGAAAAGAGAAATGGATCTTTCTATGTTTTTTACCACTTTTATTTGTAACTAAAGTTACTGCAGCTTCGTCCTATACGGACATTTTCAAACTTATACAATAAAGAGATAATATTCATTACTACACCAAAGGTTCCACCACAAGTACAATATCTATACTTACTGGATCAGTAACGATGAATTGAACAATTAATGGGGATATAATGGAGAAAATACTAGTAGAACTATTTGTGATTGCCATGAGTACTCCCGAATGGTTCGGAGATAAATCCACGTGATTGACTTGATAACTACAGAGAGCTCCAGCACTGATACCACCATTGATAATCAGCAAAGCAACAGAATAACTAGCATATTCTTTCGTAATGAACGCTACCATAGTGAGGCTAATTGCTGGAAAAATGGTACCTGAAAAAAACAAGCAACAACTAAAAACATAAACGTTTATGAATTATTGAATCTTGTTGGATAGTCTAATTATGGACCAGCATTTATGCGTTCCATTCTAAATAAGTTTTCAGTTTGAAAAACCTACAAAAAACTATAGCTCGCCCTTCTTACGCTTCCAACGTAGGCTGTTGCCTAAAAAATTTAGTAGGTGCTGAGCAGATGGTTCTATTGGCTACAAAACATGTATCAACGCAATAATTTCTTCAGATACAAG